ACAAAATTTATATTGTACTTATGAATACGTGTGAAGGAAAAAATATACAAAATTTACATTACTGATATATACCATTTCATACAATTTAAGATATAAAAGATCTTAAAAAAAGTGAAATCTAAGTAAAACCTTTCTAAACGTTTAAACGTGAATATTTAGGGGAATATCGTATATATAACCCATTTTATCGTGGCCTTTTAAGAAACCGAAAGGACTTTAGGGGAGAACGTTTACGATTGTATCTTCTCCCTTGAAACGAACGTTCTTCGAATACCTACTTGCTATTTATTCGACGGTAGATCGGGTTTCCACAATCATAGGTCACCTTTAAATAGAATCCCAAATGCTGAACTACGCTTCTACCACCACCACCACCACCACCACCAATCTTTCTTTTTCTATCTCTCTCTCTCTCTCACATAGCAGTATTTTTATGAACGTCTGACCTAAAACTCGACTGCGACTACTGCGAGTGTTTTTGTGGGAATACCAACACTAATGTAAACGAAAGGAAAGAAATATGTATGTTTTATATAAACGCACACAATTTTGCCAAGGTCCGACGTTAACCATGCCATAACTACTGTGCCTCTTCTAGTACGTTCTTGTTTATGTGTATGTGCATATATATATGCGTATACATATATCTGTGTATCCGTAAAACATGGAAACTAACCTAAGAAGGACACACGAACATTTCCTTTCCGTTTTCTCGTTAAATACTTGCGACTATAAAAATACAAAACTTACCGATATCCATACTCTCGAGTATTTTCACACAAAACAAATATTCAATTTTTACGTTTACGTGTGTTTTTTATTTACTGAATTACGATCGATGTTACTCGCGTTAAGTATAAAACACTTGAAATAATATTTCTAAATGTCGTACACTGATATTTACGATGCCTTACGTAAAACGTGATCATAAAAAATACTAATGAAAAATTATTCAAATAATAATCATTTCGAATAAATCGAAACACAAGATGGATTTTAAATAACTTTTGTGTGTTATTCCTTGCTAAAATATTAAACGATTTTACGATTTAGAATAAAATTAGATATCCGTAAATAGGATTGAGAAACTTTTCTTGGATAGAAATGGAAATTCATTTTCGAACAAATTGATTCAATGGAGGGGGATAAAAAAGTGGCGATAAAAATATTCGACAATTTTAATATTTCATATTTTATCGACCCGACGACCTCTATCGATTCTCCTCCTTCTCTTTTTTCTTTTTTTTTTTGTTTATTTTCAACCAGAGATGAAGAGAAAATTATAACGAAACGTATATACACATCGTTGAGAATGTATGTAGGACGATTCTTAAATTATTCGAAACGACAAACGTATTTATATTCTTGACTATAAGTTAGGATTTAAAAAACCGTAAGGGGAGAGGAAGGGGAAGGGGAAGGGGATGGGGAGGAATGAGAAAAAGATAGACAGTTCTTGGTAGTACTGGGTTTCACATTTGAAATTCAAAATATTATTCACATTTTCTTTATACTCACGCTTAATTGTTTTCAACGATATCGAGAGAACCCCCATTCTCTTCCTCCCCTTCGTGTTTGAATTAAAGATGAAGGTCTCGGAGCAAACGTACTGGTATTTTTCAAAGTATCATTAAGATTATCGAACGAATAATCGAAACAATATTTCACAAAAACCCATACTATCGACAACTCATTTAAGGGGTTACATGGGCTTACACCGAGAAAAAATAGCATATTTTCAACAATTTTTTTTGTCTATATAAAAAATGGAATTCTTATTCAAACTTTTGATAGCATTTAAGATACATATTTAAAGAACATTTTCTGAATTTTTCGTTGAAAAATATTTTTAACTCAGCCATTGCGACGTCATTTCCGGTGACCCAACCGAAAAAAAGTGTTTTCGCGTTGACAGCAGAACTTATAAACGATGGGGGTTTTTCTGTTGAAAAATTAGGGTCTTTTAGTGAATACTTAAAACTAGAAACTGGACGAAGGAAAAAGAAAAAAATTGAAATTTGGATTTTTGGCAACGTTTTTAGCAAGAACATTCAAATTTCGCTAGAATTTGCACCACATTTTGGTTTCTTAAAATTTGATTTTATGAAAAAAACGAAAATCCTTCGTCCAAGTCCTTGTCAATAGTATCACGAAGACGTGTAGCAAATTTCATGAAAATCGGTTAAATAGTTTTCGAGAAATTTTGACAACCAAATTTAGAAAAAGCGTTTTGAGAAAAACGCGTTTAAGGATTTGAGTGCTTCTCAAGGCTCTATCTTTTAAACTACTACTCCTATCAACTTCAAAATTGAATACAATATTCTAGATGAGTTGTAGAATTGAAAAAAAAATAAAAAAAAAAATTTTTTTGAAAGTCCCAAACTAATGTAACCCCTGAAGGGGTTACATGGGCTTAAACCAGAAAAAAATAACATATTTTCAACAATTTTTTTTGTCTATATAAAAAATGGAATTCTTATTCAAATTTTTCATAGTATTTAAGATACATATTTAAAGAACATTTTCTGAATTTTGGGTTAGAAAATATTTTAAACTCAGCCATTGCGACGTCATTTCCGGTGACCCCACCGAAAAAAAGTGTTTTCGCGTTGACAGCAGAACTTATAAACGGTGGAGATTTTTCTGTTGAAAAAATAGGGTCTTTTAGTGAATACTTAAAACTAGAAACTGGACGAAGGAAAAAGAAACAAATTGAAATTTGGATTTTTGGCAACGTTTTTAGCAAGAATATTCAAATTTCGCTAGAATTTGCATCATATTTTGGTTTCTTAAAATTCGATTTGAGGAAAAAAACGAAAATCCTTCATCCAAGTCCTTGTCAATAGTATCACGAAGACGTGTAGCAAATTTCATGAAAATCGGTTAAATAGTTTTCGAGAAATCTTGACAACTGAATTTAGAAAAAGCGTTTTGAGAAAAACGCGTTTAARGATTTGAGTGCTTCTCAAGGCTCTATCTTTTAAACTACTACTCCTATCAACTTCAAAATTGAATAAAATATTCTAGATGAGTTGCAGAATTTAAAAAGATAAAAAAAAAAAATTTTGTTGAAAGTCCCAAACCCATGTAACCCCTTAATATTCATAACATGAATTGTGTACATATTTATTAATCATATATATTTATTCATTTTGGTTTTAGTTTTGGTCGGCTTACACGCCCTGTCCATCCCAATATCACGACTCCGTTCAACTTGCTTTGGAACAGATCGATGTGATTCGCCGATTGGTCAATAAACATCCCGAAAGTCTGGTTCTTGTTACTACGGCTGAAGGTAATTAAAACACCGAAAAATGCATCATTTTTTATAATCATTATTTTCACGATAACACACGTGTGTCTCCGAATAATTAGAAAAAGAAAATTTCAATTGATCAACATTTATACAGTAATGTTTATCAATATCTGTATAATTAAAAATTTATATTGATACTTTAAACAAAAAAAACAATACAATAATACAAAAATAAAGACAACAATTTTCTTTTTCCATCTGGAAAAATGCCATGCCATGCCACGTCCCACCCCCAAATCATTGAAATGATTTTCACCCTTATATTTTATATAAGAAAAAATACGAACGAGCTTTCATATTAATGCAAGTAAAAGGGAATAAGTATAGGGTCAAATTTATTCGAATAAAATAAAAGAAAAAAGAAAGAAGAAGAAGATGAAGATGAAGAAGAAGGAAAAGGAAAAGGAATAGGAAAAGGGGGTGGAACGGAAAGCACGATCGCGAATCACGATGATAAAAGAAATTAAAATGGAGAGAAACTAAGTGAACGGCGTACCACCAAGGGTAGTTCCATCTCGATTGGGTACCATCAAGGTAACGAGTGTTTCCAAGTTCCAATTCGAAAGGTTCCCTTTGTCTTTGGAGGACGCGAGAAGATTGAGAAAAGGGGAAGAAACGGTGTGAAACTACGACATCTTCCTTCTGTTCATCGTCGTTGTCGTTTTCGTTGTCGTTTTCGTCCCCGTTGTAGTCGTGATGAACCCCGAAGACTTTATTGGAAACGAGAAAACGAACAACTGGTTATAAAAGAAGAGAAAATGGAAAAATGAATGAAAAGAAAAAGAAAGAAGGGTAAGAGAAAGAAAGAGATAGAGAGAGAAGGAAGTAAGGAATTGAAAGAAAATATCTTTTTATCTCTCGCGTTCCCATTCCATTTTTCTCGAATTATATTCCCTTCTCTTCTCCCCCAAAGTTGGAAGAGAAAAATAATAATACATATAAAACGAAAGAAAATGGTAATATTTAAAAATACGAGGAGCAAGATAAAGAAGAAGAAGAAGAAAAATAAAATAAATAAAAAAGATGAAAAAAGAAGGAAGGACATTAGGAAACACAGCAGTCTTCGAAATGACGTTTCCGTTCCTTTCCTTTCCGTTCTGTTCTGTTCTGTTTTGTTGTTCCCAAGTTGTAGAAAAATTGTCTCAAATATCAAGACATTGTTGTTGTTATTGTTGTTATTATTATTATAATACCGAGTGTATTTCACGCGACGGCACGCTTTTCTAAAGTAATGCGAATAGGATGGAAAGATGGAAACGGGCAGGGAGTTTGTACGTCGCCAAGGATGCACTGGATATGGGAAAATTTCATGTGAAATGGAAATACCTTTTCTCGCTGGAATATATACGATCTATGCATGCATGTATATATATGTATATCATCAACGTATGGTGCTTCGATAACTTGAAATACCTAGTCCTTCGTGTAGCCTTATGGATATGGAAATTTATGCACAATATGGACTTTAGAAAAGTTGCGAGAAGAGAAAGGAAATGAAAAGAAAAGAAAATAAGAAGCAGTATAGAGAGAAGAGAAAGTTAAAAGTATAATAAATAATATATATATAATATAGACACTTTTTTTTTAACCAGTTAACTGTGACGATCATTTTGCAAAGTGCGCCCTAGTGTGTGTCGCGATAATCAACCGATGACGGATATAGTCGTCAAACGCAGAGTAAGTAGCGCTGTTGAAATATTCGGTCAAAAAGACGACTTTATTTTAGAAAATCAATGAATTTATGAGTAATATTTAAACAATGGATCAACGTAAACCTATATTTACACATAAGTAACGAA